CGAGAGACGATAGGTGCACAATCTGAAGCAAAGCAATCCCACGGTGACAAAAAATCAACCTTGAACATGGTACGTTATACTTATCGCTCTGGGATGTACAGAGAATGTGTTTCATCCGCTCTATACTACAAAAAGCAATTGTCACTAGAAACGAGGCTGATCTTGTACAGAATGCTAAGAAGAGAAATGTTTTACTCAAGACGTTCATTCTGCTTTCGTCAACAGTATCTGCTCTACCTTTTAAGTTTGGGGTTGATACTGGCGACAAGTTCAGTCCTGAGATCATGGAAGCATTCGCTGAATCAGTTCGGGACAGGTTTGAAAATCGGCTGTTAGAGCAAACGGACGAGGCAAGGCTGTGTAAATAGTTAGTACTGAAATGGCAGAAAGGCTACATAGAGACAATGGAGAGACACTGGGACAAGTTGGATTTTTTGTTTCTCACGTGATCTGCTTCTGTAAAAGGTTGCAGGAAGTTTCAGCCAATCAGCTCTATGTATCTAATTCAGAGAGTGCAACTTGAGACGTTCTGTACTGTGACATGTTTATATTTGACACCCGTGTGTGTATCCACTAGAATAAACCGCAATAACGCGTATTGCGTAGGACTCTACAACCTCATGTTTAGAGCTATTCAGGTGTTCAGGTCACACTATTAGGCCGTTGGACTGCTGGACTGCTGGACCACTCGGGCTGTCAAATTTGGTACTAGTTGTGATCCACATCCACCCTTGCCCGAACGGCTTGTTCTTTTACCTCCTAACTAAGTCTCGAGACAGCGTCGATTTTAAAGTTGTTCCGCTGCGAAGGCTTCGTCGCTAACCGAAGTTGCACCAGAAGCATTCTGCAAGTCGTAGAACTTTGCGTCAAAGTTGTCATGGAAGCCCCAAGGATTAGAATGAGAGCTGCATTCAAACAAAGCCGAACCAAGGACATCGACCGATGAAAGATTTATAATGTTAAAAGCGGGTTCTGGTGAAGTACTTGTTGAACAGTACTTTGGGAACCGGTCGAAATCGAAAAAGCTTTCCATGATTAACTTCTCATTGACTAGATCAGGAGGTTCAAGGGAGACGGTTAGGCGAAGATCGCCGGTAGTAAGCTTCCCCCAATTGACTGACACTGCATGTCGCACAATACTGCAGCAGAGTACTGTGTCGGGTCAAATTCGGGGGTGGGCTCAAAGCTGGATGGGGGGCGCCTCGGGCTGGCATGAGGAGTCACGTGGTGAGTTCACCGGTTCCATCGATTCGGGGGCGGGGAAGGATATCGGGATCTGCGCAGAGCAGATGGTGTCGAAGAAGTGATTTGGTAGTGTCAAGAAATCGGACGTGAACATTGATACTTCGCCAGGGTACTTTGTGCGGTAGTGTCAGAGCCCAACCTCCATCTGGGCCATCTTATCCCTGTAAGCTCTGATACTGGCCTTGAGTTCGTCCTTCTCGTTCTGGAGCACCTCGTACTCCTGTCGCTTCCCCTTTATACGCTCGATGCACCGCTGCTCCTTCTCGTCCTCGGTCTTGGCTCGCTTGCGGGGTGGCAGAATGGCTTTTGGTTCGGGGAGAACCTGACCTTGACCGGCTTCAGGGCACTACTCTCGGAGGTTGGTGTCTGTGATGGCTCCGACGACTTGAAGTTGGCGCGTTGTGCGGCGAAGGCGAGCGATTGATGTTCTCCATCGTCTCCATTTTGATGGTGGTGGGTACCGTATCCGATATGCCTGGCGTGGCTAGTGATGTGGGTGACGATAGAGCGGAGGGGTGTTGCTATGATGGCGGAGATGTTTATGGTGTGGGAAAAGAGACTGGAATCCAAAGAGTGCTCCTCCATGGCATAAACAGGTATGTGTGCCGTCTACTTCCGATTTTCCCAGTCTGCCGAGAGTGCGCCGCTCAGAAATCTGGCGCTTTTAGTGGTCCACTTTGGACTACTCTCCTACTTTACCGGCGCCTCCATTTCACATCGCATCTATGTTGGCGAAAGTCGCTTCCGCCCCCCTTTCCAACCGCGGCAGCTCAAGGAGTGCCTGAGCTTGTCCTCACTCTCCAGCCTGCCTAAAACACGAAGGGCTCACTTGGTAATGATAGACGTCTCCGCAGCCGCTCATGCGTCGCTCATGCAGCCCGCAACCTCTGATAAAAGGGTCTTATGAGCACTCCAATGTGACTCGGTTAATTGACGACGAATCCAACCTGTTCCTATGGAATCGCCTGGCATCTCTCTACCAGCAACCTTCTTCCGATATCCTTCTTCTAGCGTTCTGCCATATTACCACTGGTCACTAGGGTAGAAGTCCAGTCCTCTTCCGGTGCTGGGAGTCCCAATTCACTACATTCCGTCTTGCATAACTAAGATAGTTGCGCACATTTCATTGACGCAACGATTGCCCGCTTCTGTTTACTGGCTAGAGTTGCTTACGGAACTTCTGGAAGCACACGGAGCCTTAGCTCCGACCATAGGAAACACTACACGGTGAAGGCGATTGGATACGTGTGCCACAGTGGCATGCACTTACAGTTTCTACTTTTACAGGTACTCCGGGTTTCATCCTACACCGGTCCCGATCACGCTATGAGAAGCCGATCGCAAAGGCAGAATGTACTGTTTGAATGCAAAGACTAGCAGCCTGGCCTGCTAACTAGTCTTTACATTTACATGACTCAACCCGCAAAAACATCCACCATTTAGATAGCCCTTCCCAGTCTCGGTCGATCTAAAGCATTGGTATGGCACTCAGTACATGTTGGTGGTGCTTGCTGGCGTCGCCTGAAAGGACTCATGTTGAGCCTTTGGAGCAGTTAATGTATGGTCTTGCTAGCACAAAGACTGAAATAAAGCACGAGGCGAGCAATCAATACAGCCGTCATTGGAACAGCCCTTTGATCATCACGATTACCATATAGCTTGCAATTTGACTATCACGAAAGAATTCGTAAGAGTACTAGACATGGCAATGCTCAGCATTGCATATTGTAAACACGTCCAGAAAAAGGGCACTCAATCCTAACTACACGATAATTGTTAGTGCATTAGGAGCTGAGCCAAAGCAGATACCTCCCTGGATCAAGAGCCATGGGGTATTGTCATGCTTCTCCTAGCAAAGAATCCACTGCTGATATTTAGTAAAGCTTGGTTCTGGTTTTCGTAGCCCCGGTCTGATTCTGAGAGGATGTCCAGTGAAAGGGAACATAAAGAAAGGCAGTCAGTATATACGTGGTTCCTACACTTAGGTGTAAGCACAACTAAAACAGCCGATTATGAAATTTTCTGTCATACGTACCAATCCTGTAGAAGAGATGTAGGCGATGTTGTGTTGGAATATGTGATTATCTCCTGGATGGATCGCTGGAGCAATTTGCTTAACTTCTAAGTTCTCAGAAGCACAGAAGAGTGGTGTTTGGGCATGCTTGTACTTCCCAAAGAAAAAATGGCTTCATGGTAGCGGTACAAGGGCTGGAACTTGACATATTTAGTAGCTTCGCGTCCTAGAGAGAGTGTCATTTGGCTGGTTTCATCAGACTTCTGCCATTCTTCAAGAGCTGTTGAGAGCGCCATGATTCTGTCGAGGAGATCTTGAGGTGTCAGGTCTTTTGCAGATCCAGATAATTCGAGGATATTCAAACAGATTTTGGAGTACTGAGACCGTACCTACAATCCATTTATTGATGGAAGAGTTCCTGTTTCATTCACCCGTATGTCCATAGGCGGGCCCGTAGCTTGAAGCGCACTGTTACCAATTAACTATTCATTCATGTCAGCCTCAGCTTTTGACCGTAGAGACATTTGAAGCTTACGGGAAACGTTTTCTATATCAACGCGTACGATTTGTCAATGTAGTAGAGCATCCACATAGCTCGTTCAACTTGTATGACCTGCTCGTTGGTGATGCCGAAACTGCGTATCCCAGATTCTGAATGAAGACCCAAGGAGGCTGTCGTTGAAACACTGCCATGAATTAACGCGGGTAGATCCCCTGATCCAGGTTTTTCGGCAAGATAGAGCTGATGTTTGTCAATGAATTTCTTTGCTGTGGATAGATAAAACTCGACTAATTACAGAGATTTGCGCCTGGTTGGGTTCAGCCATATTTCAGCACATATCGTCTTGTGTTACGGACCTGAAATTTGTAGATGCTGTCGTTTTGATGGAGCAGTAGCTTTACTATTTGTGCCACCGCATCTAGCAAGGCTACTTTGACAGCACTGCCTGCTTTCAGATCTAGCAAAGCTTCACAGGACAGCGAGGCAAGTAGTAAAGACACGCTACTAATTCTCAAGCCTATATTCGCCGGGTCGATAAGATGCTCTTGCACGTCTGTAATATCTTTTTTCGCAATGAACAGACCTAGGCTACTTTAGTTGTGAGATAGTGACATGTATTCAACTATTCAGAGCTCCTACCCATCTGGATCTCTAAATGCCTCTGGCAAAATATTAGCAAGGTATTACATTCCCAGATATTTGGCAAACATGCCTTCAATTGGTTTACTTGTAGGAAGACGGGTTAGATCCAGGGGTTGGTTTCCTTCTCTAGAAACACTCTTACGCAACATGTCAGCAAGAGAAGATTGGTATCCTGGCGAGGGTACTATTTCAATCTTCTCGAGTGCTTCTTGTTTTTTGCAGCTACCTCTATTTGTGTTTTGGAATATGCTGCTAACTCTGTACCTCCTGGAACTCACACATGAATTTGCCTTGGAAACGTTTAATGGGAAACGTTCAGCAAAGGAAGCGACCGCGTACCTCTGCTCTGTCAGCTACTATCCGTTCATCAAGCTGCTCTAGTGCATAATCAGTAGCGCTGTTTCTGAATTTGGTTCCTAGGAGATGCTCAAAATCGGCGATTTCATGTAAATTGAAATCGAAGTCGAAGTCGGGATCCGAGGCTTTCAGCACTTCCTCGACAGAACCAAAATCCAGACACGACAGGGCACTCTCGGGTTCTAATTGAATGTCATGCGCCTCGATTAATATGGTGAACATGTTCTTTGGGGCTTCTGTAGTTGGGCTAGCTCCGAGCTAAAACGGGCAATTTACGTATGGCAAGTCAGCCGTTGCTTCCTCGCCGACTTTCGTTCGTTTTTAGGACAGAAAGCACGTTTTTCTCGAGACTAGCAACACGTTTTTGTGAACAGGGCCGTGAATGGTACCGTGAACGACCCGCAGCATAGGTGCACACAGACACACTTCGCTGTTGTGGTGTTATAATCGAACCTATTACGAAACAAGGCTTTCACGTACTTCGCATTGGATACACATATCTCCTCCATTGCCTATCTCTATTAAAAAAAAACACAACTAACTTCGAGCTGTCTTACATCGGATCTTCTTTTGGTAGCATTCTTCACACGCAACTCTTCGTCGAGTTGCTTTGGGGCGAGTGGTACTCATTGAAAGATACGGATAGAGTAGAGCATGAGATAAATAGAAGTAAAGCATTTGCAATTTGCAAGAAGTTACACAGGCCGTATGATTGAAAGTTAGTTATACATGTTTCGGCTACGCAGGAATCAGATAGTGATTATCTGGCGATCAGCACAGCTGCTGCGATCTTCTACTACAGGTGCCAAAGTCTCAGATCGGCAGGCTTCGAATCTGTCTGCCAACACGGCTGATTCCTTATGTGCTTCACCATATAATCACTCGCAAGGTATATGGTTCCATTACTATTCCTCTGGTAGCAATCCACATACCCCTTCCTTTCTGCTTCCAGCATCTACTCGCTCACAGTTATGAGCCTGGTTAGGACTACAACGTCGTACAGTGACCGTCTGGTCACACAAATGGCTTTTATTTTACTGGATAGACGGTACCTGGGCATATTACGACATCTCGAAACCAAAGAACAAACTACTGAAACTCAACGAGCTTATCACATCAACAGCCAGCGAAGTGAGAGCTGGAGCGACGTCATCAACCAGCCAGACAAAAGCCAGCAAGAAATAAATAGGACTGGATATACGAAAGGGCAGAGTACGCAAAGGTAAAGCACAGAGAAGGTGAGCTCCTTCTCAACACCGCCCGTTCAATTGCTGCTTGTCACCTTTACCTCATCCTCATGATGAGGTGTGTGACCGATGAATCGCTCTCAAGAAGCAGTCCACGCCGGCAACTGCCGTGCGAAACAGAAAGCCAACTGTCAGGTATCCAGCCCAGCAGAGTGAATCTCCGAGTTGGGATCTCGAGCGGTGGCTCGATCACTGGATTCGCGTTATGAATCAGTGCGGAGAGGTAGATCTATCCGAAACAACGTGCTATCGCGCTCAGAAGGACTTGTTAGCAATTATCAGGGCTAATGCCCTTGAGTCGGCAGCATCGTCTCATTGCGCCCTCAGCATGAAGGATTCCCTGCGTAGGAAGAGCGGGATTCAACCTCCCGCAGATTATATTGCTTAATCCGGGACTTTCTTGCGAAGAATCGGACCTACTATGGCACCGGTGATGCCGCCACAGACAATGATGCTCTAATATTCCTAGCAACTTATATCTCCCACACGCTTCTTTGCTCAAACGCAACAGCATGCCCAAGACCCCCGCACGGCGGTTGGTACATTGTGGGTAAGTGCCTTCGTCAGCATTGTACCTCATATGACACTTGCAGCCTAGCTTTCCGGTCACCTGGAATTTCCTATTGGTGTACGTTGGAGTAGCTGCGCGCGAATATGCATGAGACCAGAAGGGCCGGGTAGGGCCGTGTGTTCGCCGACCCACCGTGTGCCGGAAAATCGTACGAGGGAGTAGCCTCCCACTGTCACGTGCAAATCTTTATGCACTTGAGATGTTCGCTGATTGGTCTACAGATCTTAGGAAAGTTTCGGAAAGGCTCATGCAATATTTCTGCTTGTGCAGTGGACCAAGATAAGGAGAGGTTGAGATCTGTATGAGCCGCACCCTAGCGCGCATCATGTGTAATTGTATTAACTTTGCGGACGGTCGAAGTAGCCGGCTACCTTATCTCAAGGAAGGTCAAACAAGGAACAAAAATGACCCCATTAGCATCTGAAACTACTTACCGAGGTGGAGGGCCAGGGTAACGCCCGGGTAACGCCCGATTTCCCCACCAAAACTAGCAGCTGAGTTTTTTGGCTCGAAGATCACATTCATGCTTTCAGCCTCGCCTAGTAACGTCTGACCCTGTGTGCCGAAAACCCCGTGTGCCGAAAATGACCAATCGAATCCCGAGGGTCGTAGAAAAGTTTGTGATACTTGCGATCCGATTGGTCATGTTCGGCACACGGGGATTTTTGGCACATAGGGACGGACTTTATCGCTTAGATAGGTACCTGTATGGCCAACCCCGCTTTTTGCTACTTCCTATCCTCATCATCACCCATACCTTACTTCCAATCTCTTTCCCAAACCTTGCAGTCAGAGTAGAAACACAGCACCTAAGTACTTTGTAATATACCTTGCACAGTGATATCTTGTTAACCTTAATATTTCCAGATGGCGAAAAAGGCAAAGCTCATCGAACATGAAAAGCAACACCTCGAACACCACTTTCACCAAGTTCGGGACCGCGCACTCCGCCGATGGTATAGAGACGCGCATGGCGAAGATCTACGGCTCAGAGTTGTTGCTCAAGCAAGGCTACAGCTGCAGATCTGGCTTAGAGAAAAGCGGGGAGAAATCACAACGCTACAGCAACAGCGTGATGCGTGTAAGGCTGCCGGTGATACCGACGGAGTAGAAATTGTACGAAAGAAGTTAAAGCACGCTCATTGTGCTTTATCTATGCACATGAATATGTCAAAGAAAGAAATGCCAGCTTCCACTGCTGAGAAAGCCCGCCGGAAATGGGCTGAGAAAAGCTACACTCTTGAAGATGTGTTGCGCGACCGGGATTTAGACAAACGGTCTGAGTTCGGCGTGAATCGCGATAGCATGTTTGATTTAGTTTCAGAGGAAGAAGATAGTGGGATGTTACTTGCAGGAAGCTTAGGAGACATGCAGCTGGAAGAGGAAGATGATGGAACAGCACTAGAGGACTGGGACGAGGGAGATGATTCGAGCGAGCCTATATCAGATCCGACCATCATATGGGAGCAACATGCCCTTCGTATACAGAACCGTTATAGACGATCCGGGATTCCGGATTTTGCAGCGGAAACGAGGCTCGCTTTCCAGAAGAAGATTTTTGATCTACACGTAGACCGCGAACGCCAGCTTCGCGAAGCAACTGAGAGTAGTCCAAAGTTTGACATGGATGCGCAATATCCTCTCCGCGAGGGTACCAGTACATCTTGGAATGCGGTCTTAGCCGCAGCGACATTCTCGGAGCATAGCCTATGGGAACTTACCTGCCCTATGCTTTGGCGTCATTTTGAGGGCGGGCGTAGCTTCGACCACCCTCAATGGGCTCCCAGGGGTCTCATGCGTATCCATACAGTCTCTAATTCGTCCTATGTCTTCTTCGAATTCGGTGCGCGTTCGTTCAGTACGAGTCGGATCTCTATCCCGGCGACCGTCAACACTCGAGCACTGGTGTTTTCTGCTCGGTGCCACCAGACGAGGGCAAGCATTGACTTCGAGCTTACGTTTGTTGCTCGTAGTTTCGTTGAGGTTCAATTCCCAATAACTGCAATCATTCAATTCGATGGGTCGAGCAAGATTCCGTCTACCACAGCTGTCAAACTAACTGGTGTGTGGATGGGGCCGGTTGAGTGAAAACTTGGTATCTCGTTACACATTGTGCCAATGACATTACAATATCTTTTGGAGATCCAGTTTAGAATGCGTTTTGTCCCTATAAACCTATCTTGCTAGCTCTTACCACTTTTCCTAATTCAGAGTCTCTTGACCTGTTTGCATTATTCTATATACATGTGCGTACCTAAAGGCGTACAGTGTATTTTCCTTCCGTTCCATGTTCCTCCCTTCGTGCAATGTATGCTGCGTTGAAAAGCTTCACAAACTCCAATTACACAACTGTTATTCGGTAAGTTTACCAGCTCCTCAATATTCAATCTGACCAACGAAAATAAGTTTCGTGAAAGCTTTGTGAGCATGTACAGACTGTCTCGGTAATGCCGCGATGGTCATGGGTGTTAACAACGCAGTGTTAAACAATGAATTTTTTGATGGTTGGTATGCAATGAAGTTGCTCCAAGATAGTTCAGATGGCCGCAGTTTGAGCGGGCCTGTGGCATGCCTGTTGTCTAGGGCTTAGTTTGCATTGTGAGCTTTGCCGGTTAGCACCCAATAGTGAATCAAGCTAGAAGCTCATCAGTAATTAACTATGTTCCGATTGTGACTGTTGCGCCAAGGGATGATCGGATGTTTTTCACTAAGACGTGTCGTGCAGGTGCGATCCCGCGTTCTGCTGTTCATGCCAGTCATTCATCATCTTCAGCAATTAATGACAAAAACCACGGCCGCCAAATGGTCTAAGCCCAGTTCAAGAGCCAATGTAGCACAGCCACGACCTTAAGGGCATCAAAGCAGTTCCGGGTACTCCCAATCACTATCTGCTCCCTAAAGACCAATTTTTCATTAGTCTTGGTGACAACTAGCAAGTGCCAATCATGACCTTGTGAGATGGGCACTGGTATCGCTGGCCAGTCTTTGTGCATAGCTGCGGGCGCAGTCCAGCCGTCCTCCCATAGTAGCTCGCATTGCCGCAGCCACGCGTTCGTCCAGATCCCAATTTGTGGTTTGCCGTCTGTCTACGACTTCATAGGGCCCTTGATCTCGATGTTGATGGCGATGGGTAGGTTCTGTAGACAGGTGACGTGGTTCCAGGACATGACCGTATTCGAAGCCAAGGGCCGGAGGGACCGGTAGGCGCTTGACATGACCGAGTCAGGTTGGAGGCACACAACATAGTCAATGACCCGGCCAGGGAGGTTGTGGTTACAGAGCGCCGGAGGGTCGATACGAGCAGTTTCCCTTAACGATATTAGCCTAGATGGTTCAGGGTTAGGAGAAAAGAATGATACCAAACGCACACGGAACGGATGGAGAGCGCCTTCGAATGCCGACTTGTCTCAAGAGCAATCTTGAGTAGCTGATATTGGACCTCTGTGTTCCACTCATCCTCGGCTCCTCTTGTACCAGAATTCAATTGCCATGCAGCGGAGACGATGCTAGAAATCTTGCTGATTGCAGGCGTTGCTCCATACTCAGCACGTCGAGGATGTTTGGGCATTGGATACTGTAATCTCGTCCGGTCTAACTCCGGAAGCTCGGCAATTGCTGCATTGAATTCGTCTGTGCTGTCATAATTAAGCATCTTAAATCCATCAGTAAGCATTTGAGCTGCTATGTGCATTGTAGTGACGTCCGGACGTGTCTGCTCTCCAGCCATCTCGAGGCTATCGAAGTCGCAGAAAATGACGGGGCGGTCGAAATCTTCGAGGGCCTGGATTTGCTTAACAGGACTGAGCCTTCCGCTTCCGTGTGACGAAATGGAGGCGGTTGACTCGCTTTTTGTAGGAGACGCAGGCGGTGAAAACCGGTGTCGAGGTTGCGACGGCGTTTTGGGGGACGAGGCGTTTCTTGGGCAGCAGCATCGTCACCAATGCTAATTCCTGAATCCATATCCATCGAGTGCGATCGTCTCGTCGGCCACGTCTTGATTGTATCGTTATTGTAGGGAATGGCGTTCAGGGCAGTGGTGCTATCTCTACGTCAGCGATAAGCATTGCGATAGACAATGGGGGATAGGGACCTTGTGGGCGGAGATGTAGAGACGTCATCAAGTCAGAGGGAGATGGTCGAACTGAGCGGTGATGGTGTATAGGGCATAGCAGCGCTGATGTGTGAAGTGCAGGAGTCTTTGGGGGGGGGGGAGAGGGTGGTAGACATGTGACATGTTGTTCTTCATGATTTGACGCCGAGTACCGCGTTGCATCGCGCTTGTGATTAGCCGAGCGACAGCCGCTTCCGCTCTTCTACTGTAATTACGTAATCAATTTGACCGTCACCAGGATCACATGCCAAAAGACGATGTTATTAGTCGGCAATCTACGAAACATGACCGGACCCTTACTAACAAGTCCACCCCAGTTTCTATCAAATACGAACAAAGAAGCCAAACTTTGACAAAAGGGGAAGTACAAAATGCTCTAAGATGGAAAGTTAATATCCTAACTAACTAATCGTATTTCTCGCTGGCACATTGCGGCCTAAAGTTGTCGTACCACAGCTAACTGAAAAAAATCTATTGCTAGAGCGTCCCTTGGGGTCGCATTGGCTGTTGCTCGTACGAACTGTTACAAGTAACAAGAAGGATTCTCTTCTTGACGGGGACCACAAGGTCGAAGACTACTCGATGTCCACGTCAGAAGATGATGATCATCGTGGGGCGCTGTTAAGAGTATGATCTCGAGTGGAAGTAATATAAGACTTCTAGTGTCAAGATTCTTGGGTTGGTTTTCGCGGATGAAGCAACAGGGTGTAATGAACTATGTCTTTGCAAGTAACTATTGTATTGTAGTACTTGTACTCGTAACTCAAGTTGAACACATCGAGTCATAAGGGTTCAATGCCTATTGCTATATACTAAGGAGTGTGGTTGCTCGTTGATGAGCGCCATAGTGCTCAGAGGTGAGCACTTATCTGATTGGTCCCTTTGCTCAATACTGAGCGCTGTGGGTCCTGCTCATTGCTGAACGCTGCTCGCTGGTGAGCAGTCACGTGACACGCTAGTCCTAAGGAGTGTCCTTGCTTTCCTGACGGCGTTACGCCGTCGCGTATTTTACCGTCTTAACTGTTAAGCCGGCTGGGCGCCTCCTGTTACTTGAGGGCCGTAACAGGCGCATGGGTCATGCAATTGACACCTCGCCAAAGCTGGTCATCCGGGGTAGATGGAATGGCAGGAGCTGAAGCAATGGGGATAAAGGATGGATGAATCTCATTAGTAATACAACTTGGAGTTTATGAGTGTCGTATGCAACTTGTGGAGGGCCAGCGCTCTGAGTAGCATTATTACACTCTCATGCACTTGCAGTTTCCGGTTTGCACACCCCGCTTAACTATCACCCCACGTTAACCCCTGTCTCGCTTGGCGCGTGCTTTTCCTCAATCACTCTAGCTCTCGTCAGCACAAACCGCTGGACTTGTTAACTATCCGTGCCAAGGTGTAGCTTATGACTAAGCCACGTCAGCTGCGCTGACACTCGCCGCAGGCGAGTGCCGACGCTCAATACGATATTACCTTCAATACGATATTTCTTTGCAATTCTATCGCTTTGATCCCCACTTATAGCCCCCATAATGGCTCAATCTCAATCTTTAATTAATGTTCGCATTACAGAGATCTTAGAGTCTATCGAAGATATCTCAAAGCCCAATTTTAAGCAGCTTGCGCGCAAATACGGTGTTCCATACCAGCGATTACTCGCCCGATCAAAGGGCCGCCCAACACATTCTCAACGTCCTTCTGGCACCCACAAGCTTGCTAAGGCGCAAGACCAAGCGCTGTACGATTATATCGCACGCCTTGATGAACTTGGTATTTGTGTACGACTACCTATGATTGTATCGTGTGCCAATTATCTTCTTCAACAAGCTCATGATGGCCCTGGTCCTCCACCAACTGCAAGCTCGCGATGGGCAAAACAATGGCTCAAACGGCAGCCTGAGCTTTATATACGGCGACAGCGATCTCTTAATCTCAATCGCGCACTTGCGCATGACTCAGACTCTATCATAAATTGGTTTGACACCTTTACAAGCCTGATTCAGACGCATGGTATCCCGCCATCAGATATCTGGAACTTTGACGAGACTGGCTTTCGCATTGGGATTGGAAAAGACCAGTGGGTTGTCACTTTTGAACCTCGCCGCCGTGTCTATCTACGGACGCCTGATAATCGTACATCATTGACTGTTACCGAGTGCGTCAATGCCGCAGGCCACGCTATCCCGCCAATGATTATTGTTGAAGGCGACGCACTTCTTGAGCGCTACTTTACCGATTTACCTGACAACTACCTTGTTGCACACAGCGACAGTGGCTACACAAACGATCAATTAAGTTTTGAGTGGGTAAAGCACTTCGTAAAACAGAGCCAGAAGCATATACAAGGGTTGTATCGGCTGCTTTTGTTCGATAGATTTGATTCACACTGCACCCAAGAGTTTCTAGAAGTCCTTGAGGACCACAACGTTATTGCCTATCGCCTGCCTCCACATACATCTCACTTTCTCCAGCCGCTTGATGTAGGCTGTTTCCAGCCGTACAAGCACTAGCACGCGCAGGCTGTTGATCATGCAACCCGAACAGGCTGTACAGCTTTCAACAAGGTTGAGTTCTTGGCTGCTATCGAGTCAATCCGCGCCCATACATTCAAGTCCCGTACAATACAAAAAGGCTGGCGGGACTCAGGATTATATCCATTGGATATCAAGCGCGTCAAGGATAATGTACAGAGAGATTTTGCTGATTGGGACGCTGATTGCCAAGACACTGGCAGTAGTAGTGATAGTAGCAGCAACGCTACTACAGATAGAACACCACCACCACCACCAGAGCTAAACACGCCTCTAACAATCCGGACACTCGAGCGCAATATTGACTTTTGTCTAGAGAACGAAGAGCTTAGCGAGAACGTAAAACGTACGCTGTTTGGAGCCTATAATATGTCTGTGGCTGGAGACCAAGCAATCGGTGAATTGCGCACTATGACTTCGATTGCACAATCACGGCGATCACGCCAACAAAGGACTCGTACAATTCTTAAATCTTCAATGGGAGTTATTTACTCTCATTCGGCACGAAAGATGGTTCAAAATAAGCTCGCAGCTGCGTTAAGCCAGCTAATATTTGAATATTCAAAGATGAAGGGCATGACTACCAGTTATGAAAAAGAAGCGGCATTTCCAAGCTTACAAACCAGTACATGAGCAATTACAGCGCGTATGGGCGTCAATGCGTACTGCTGGGTTACTGGCGTACGAAAATCAGTATAAGAACTGGCGTGGTTGAGTACTTATTTGACAGTTTATCAAAAGTAGTTGAAAAAGTATCGTATTGAAGGTAATATTGTATTGAGCGTCGGCACTCGCCTGCGGCGAGTGTCAGCGCAGCTGACGTGGCTTAGTCATAAGCTACGCCTTGGCACGGATAGTTGACGTGCGCCACCAGTGAACCAGTGAGCTGGCCGCTCCACCAAACCTGGCCTGACGCAACGTACGATAGATCCACAACAACGCAATAAAATTAGATATAGTTAACTAACTAATTGAGAAATATAACTTATTGTCTAGCTCCACATGGTGTTTGAGTGTATCCTTGAACGTGGCACTTCGTGCACGTTGGCGGCGCGCGCTGACGCCGCTGACGCCGCTGACGCCGCTGACTGCCCCCACCCTGCTCAACATCCATGACTACCTTTTCTGCCTCTATAGTAAGCTGCTGAGCTTGCTGTACTTAGAGCACTCCGCCAGAAGCAATGTATTGACGTTGTTGATCTTACTTATATTGCTGACGCTGTTTTTCTTCACGTAACTTCTTATTCTCCTCTGCGAGTATCATCGCTGATTGCATCGCAATCTGATAGCCTCTAATAACTTAGCGGATAAGCTAGCTTGTTGAAATCTGAGATTCCCAATGGAGCCGGTCTTAAAGACGTTTTGCCTGCTGCTGAGGCTGAGCTAACGTGCATCCCTCCGTGACGGGACTCCTTATGTGTCGAGACCAGCCAACCAGAACGCTTAAACTACAGACTTCTACTTCAAAACCTATGATCTGATTGGCCAGTCCCGGCATATAGGGAGTCCCGTCACGGAGGGATGCACGTTACTGTACGAGGTGTCTCCGTTTGCCAGACGGCATTAACAACGTTATTGTCTGTAACTAGTTAACTATCTGTGTTGGACGCCTTGGTAGGCAAGTTCTTCAATCTCGCGTCCGTGCGCGCATTCAAGAGGCGAGAAGCAGATTAAGTCTAGTGGCTGGAGGAGATGAGAGGTGTGAAGTGGCATGTAGGGAGTGACAATCTTGTTCTCTGTGCAGTACTGGTCAAACTCTGGCGTAGCGCGGCTGCTATGGCCGTCTAGAATAAGAAGGCGATAGACTCCAGCTATTTGAGCCGCCGTATGCTGATTGAAGTGCTTTACCCACTCTACACCAAGCCGATCGGTTGCCCAGCCATTTTCTAAGATGCAGACAGTCCAGTCTGGTGGGAAGTTTCGATACCAGCTGCTCTGGTGGGCCTTACCAGACAGGATCACAAACGGTGGTAAAGACCAGCCAGACGCGATAACACACTCGATCACTGTTACCCACTCACTATCGCCTGGCTGTACGACAACTGCTCTAACCTCTTTCCCTATGTGCCGGAAAACCCGGTGGGCCGGATTGAGCCAATGAGGTTCAGCATCTCGCGGGGATGACTGCTGACCTCGCGTTCTCATTGGCTCGTTCCGGCCCACAGGGTTTTCCGCTACATGGGGAAGGAGGTTACCAACTCTGTCAGAGCTAGTAACTACCCTTGATGTTGCAGCGCCGCCCATTGCGAACCCATTCTCGTCGATGTTAAGTCCGTCTCTATGTGCCGAAAATCCCCGTGTGCCGAAAATGACCAATCGGATCGCAAGGATCACAGACTTTTCTACGACCCTCAGGATTCGATTGGTCATTCTCGGCACACGGGGTTTTCGGCATATAGGGACGGACGTTAATGCGCATTGTTGAACGCCGATCCAGACAGCAATGATACCACTGTGTTATGTACTCATCCCCACGCTATGTTTCCTAAATCTGATTATAAATTGGATGCCGGAGTTAAACGCACGTTAGGATGCGACGCATAGATGAAAGTTCGGCAAAGGCCTCGTTACTGAAAATACTCTCAAAGGCCACAACACCACTTGGGTATGAGATTACTAGGGCAGAAATGGTCTCACTAGATGATAGAGGCTGTTCCTACTGGCTGGCAACCCGCTCGTATGATTTGGGCTGCAATTTAGATAGGTCAAGGTGGTATTGTAGGCAAGAGTCCTCTGGCGATCATGCAACGAGATCAATCACGACGACGAGCCGGATATACCGCATCGAGTTACTTGGAGGCACTTGAGGAAGGGCTACTGCCTTAGTACAGACGCGGTGAGCTATTTATGCTGGATAACGCACCTATCCATACTGCTCGCATCTCTAAGAGATGGTTGCGAGATCACGACATTGAGATGATCGACTGGCCACCCTATTCTCCGGATCTTAACCCCGTCGAACACCTCTAGTAGGCACTTAAAAAGAAACTCTATGAGCTTCACCCGAGTTTGACTATATAGGAGACATCGAAAGTGAGTGGGATTGTTTTGAGAATGGGTTGCGAGAGGCCTGGTCTGTTATACCCGATTCTTTGATTACCAAGCTGATCTGGAGTATGCTGTGCCGCCTCGACGCTGTCCGCACGGCATCTGGGTATCAAACAAAATATTGAGATTAACTAATAGTTAGCTTTAATTTGATTGTTTAAAAACTGTTTTTAGACATGGTCTGGAGTGCGACTGTAGTAGAGGACCCAGGAAGCACATCAGCGCTTTCGTCAAAAAAAATCACCCGCCACAGGCACATGGCTCTAAAGTTTGATCTTCTGGTGGGTGAATTGGGTGGTTGTTTGCGCGTTACGTATCCTTGCACATTCAGCGTCAGTGCACGGTACCTAGCGGTCCCCTAAAGAGGGTTCTGGAGGTATCGGATAGCACACCTAAATAGTTGCAGTTTTCCGACGCAGCTGAGGTGCGCTAGCCGATCCAATTGGTAGACTTAGCAATTGTTTACTGTTTGTAAAAGCGGACGCGGCTGGTTCGGCCCGACTTACGCAAAATGTGATACAGAAGAACCTTATCGGTAGATTGGCAAGTTCCAAGTGGATGAATTGCAGGGATTATGGCGATCGTACGCCAAGGGACTCTGCGGCCTGTATCCCTGACTCCTTCGCTTACACTAGCTGCATGACGATCCTTACCGGCGCGCGCTGACGCGCTCGATAGGTAAAAGTCTCCGTGGATCATCTCTTATTTGAAGCGGCACCGTACGAGTACAGCATGCCGAAAAGATTACTCTGCCGTGCTCTAACCAGATCGGCTACATATGTCCGAGCCCTAGCTGAAACCTTCGCAGCCTGTCGCGGCAATTACCGTGGCTCTTCTAATACCCAGTTTAAGGCCCTGTATGGAGTAATTTAGTCGGTTGGGTTAGTGTTTATGTTGCCCGGGGTCAGGTGTTACCCTTCGTTGCGTGGTGTTGACTTTAGTTAACAGTTATTCCATAGATAACTAAGCTTTGTTCCATTTTCGTGGCCCACGCTCTTAATTCGTAAGGGGCTTATCCCCTAAGGCTCAGAACAAGTCCTTGTCCTCAATCCTCAATTACAGAAAACAGCTGCGACTTAAGCGTATAACGTCCATCCCTTCGTAATGGACATTCCTGCTTGCAGGAACCTGCCAATCAACTATACCGTTTTTCCGCTTGTAGAGGCACATGCATACAACAACATCCGAAGATTTCGCCTCAATCATCGCAAAGGTTCGCTCTTGGATGTGATGCTTGACATCAAGATCAGGCTTCTCGTAAGACCTGACAAACGACAATCTATCCAAAACACCAAGACTGGGTGCTCTACAAGAGGCCACTGGCCAAATATCCATGAGGAGGACTCGAAGTGTAGTTGATAACTCTACACTCTCATGTACTTGCAGTTTCCGCTTTTTACACACCGCTCAATTGTTGTCCTGCGCTCATCCCTATCTCGCTTGCGACAAGCCTTACCCTGATCACGCTGGCTCTAGTCAGCCTGTCGTTAGGCGTCTATATCTCCGCAAAAAATGCTTTGAGTATGTCCATGATGCAGGAAGCAGACTGGCAATTTCTACTCCTAGGCCTCTAAATGGAGGTGAAACTTGTCGCAAGCGAGATAGGGATGAGCGCAGGACAACAATTGAGCGGCCTGTAAAAAGCGGAAACTGCAAGTGCATAAGAATGTATCTCTCTACACCGCTGGCTTGGTCTCAGCTAATTGGGCGGTGCGTAACTTGATGTATGCGATGGAGGTACCGGGATGCTTCTGCGTTAACTAGTTATGCAGTAAATGAGCGTGATGAGATTTATCTACGCGTAATGGAACACCTGCAGTAGATGAACACTGACACTGTTTTCTGTTCATAGAACCAATAACTGAACAGCTTAGAAAATCTTGGAAGTCACTTTTTTGGCCTTTTTTCTCCCTATTAACTACCCTTAACTATTTTTCAATCATATTTTCGCTAGCATACGCTCTACGCAGAAATCATGCAATACGCACTGATTTTTTACGTATCTTAATAAATTCATCTTCATCCCGCTATGAAAGAACCGATTGCCTCAAGGACTTACTTAACCTTTAATATATCTTTTCCACAATTTCAATAAACTGCTCCCACCAGCGCTTCAACCGTGAATGCAACAGTCTCCTGATTACCTGACCTTGTTGGCATGGGTTTTGAGTAATACAGTTCAATATTCCGCTTCTCTCAGCTATTTGGTTTAGCTTCGTGTTTCTGCACAACTTCTTTGCTCTGTTATGACTCTCCTCTGTAAAGACCAGTCTCTCAACAAACCTTCATCTATGTGCGCACTTACCAGTACTTTCCTCAGAGTTATACTATGGCTCTAGAACAGCTTCTTGTATAATAGAATCTCCGAAGAGAGCGAGGCGCTTATTACCTTGCGGTTTCCCTTGTATATCTTTGCTGGAAACTGACGCCCCTGCAGCGAGCAATGCTTCTTCAAGCAGTTCGCGGTTGGAGAAATGGTACTTAAGGACGTCCTCTACGGAACAATCTTTCATTTTCACATTTGTAAAAGAGATGAGTTGGATAGCTGTAGGTCCTAGAAGACTTACGCCGTATATAGATACTATATATCTAAAGATTAATCTGGTGCAAATACACCCTACCTTATAGGCGCCGGTAATAGCGAAGAGTAGCAAGAAGTTTCGCCATCTTGTTGTTGCTTTTTTTTGAATATTTTCTCAACTTGCCACTTTCATGTTAGATCTTCAATTGTAGCCAACATTATGACGCACGCGTACCACACTTTTATAACCCCGTATTATGCTTATTGACCATAGCAAATAGGACGACTACTCATAGTATGACTAGAAGATGACGTACTAGACGTTGATTAGACCGACTTTGCATCCACGTCATGCCTGCTGTATAGCGTGAGGGTGCATCGCGCAGCGCTGAGCGATCCCTTATCGACGCGGCATCTCACAGCCCCAGGCTGCCTGGCAGAAATCTGCTGAGCAATAACAAACTAAAGTCAGTCCTTGCGCAACGAAAACCCCCCACCACGGAAAAATTCACCGGTACTTCGATTTCCAACAACTCTCACTCCATGTACACCTCAATTTCTACTGTGAACTAGCGATAATTATATACTATAGGTAATTCTAAATATGCAGACACTTTCGCACTCCAACATTGCCATCGCGTTGACGCTTTCCGCGCCTGGTCTGCAGAGAGCCTCACGTCGTCGCAAAACCAGTTTCCCTCACCACAACACCACCATCAAGCTCTTTCCACTATTGGAACACCCAGAAAGGTCCTACCTGAACCTATAAGTCCTACTGCAGTACCTGCAAGTCACCAGCAGCACTGTGTCGGGTGTGTCGCGAAGATGCATGCAAGATCGCCACCCCACGTTGGTACTTCTAATTTAAACAGCCACTTATCCGGTCTAGTGCAATACGACCCCGCACGTCTCAGGTGTGGCTTACGAAGTAGTTTAACATGGTTATCAGATCGCCTAGCCTGTGGCTGTGTGTATTCCTTGCGTGCTGGTGCAGGCCGAGATGGCAAGGGAACGACTGATAAGCGCCAGCGTACTCGAAATGATCGCGGATTCCCGACTTGCGCGATAGCTCACGTCCCGCTAATTTGCCTTCAAAATTACGCTCTCTTTGTTGCTAAGATGCTCTGACATACCCTTGTTATCCTGTTCACGACCGCACTCGTCCACAGCTTGCACACCTGCCACGTGCTGAGGCAGCTTGGCTTGGGTCTTCATGCAAGGAACATACGCTTCGGGCCTCCGTGACCTTCATCTCGCCCTTCATCTCGCTCTTTTGAGTCTGATCCTTCGCTAATGTTGACGCAGGATTTCCGTGCTTCGAACCTCATCTGCCTTTCACCACCGTAGCTTCCCCCGCTACCCGTTCCGCTTGTGTCTCGACGATGTCCTCTTAGCTTACTACCCTCACCAATCAAGGTTGATGGGTGAAAATTGCTTCTATTACATTGTGGCTATACCACTAGCACAGCGTTGGCGGCGGCAGGGCACAACGATAGGCACGGCAACGACAAGGACGTTCACAGCAAGGCGTGGCAAGATAGACATAAATACTTGAACTGTAAGATTTTGGCAAGAAAACGTGATCGTTACCCCGGAAACTACAGTATCAGCTCGCTTGTGGAACATATTATCGACTTAGCGATGCTGTGATGCTGCACCTCGTGCTTCTTTGCTACGATGATACCCTACGAGTCTGTATCTCCAGCATCGCTTCCGTTCTCTTCAATACTACCCAGCTCAATTGCCTCCAGTTGGTTATCTGTAAGGTGTGCAAACTGATATAGGTCATCGATGATACGAAACCCCCATGTTTTAATATGCGAGCTTGACGCAAAGTGGTTTGAGTTATTCAGCCCAGCAGCGCCCCACCTCTTTTCTGCCTTTGCCGGCGTGCTCCTGATGGTCACGATATCGCTGTGGCCTTGGGGACCAGACGAGTGTGATTTGGGGTTAACGTTGCCGTGCATCATGAAGTTGAGGATGGGCTTTAGGGAGGGCAGGCAGGCTGGGATGGATGTCAGTAAGCTCCACCCGCGACAAGGTAGTTCATGATGTATCATACACAGTGGCTACATTAACTTCAATACCGGTCCACATCATCTCATCGCTTCCATTCCAAGTGACGTCAGGGGAGGCGATATCGAGTGCAAGGACGAAAGTGAGCCGCACGACAGATACGACCGTGACGCTGTCGTATGCCATGGTCAGCGCTGCAAATGTCATGTATCTAAGGTCTCCTGAGATGAGACTCACAAGAGACCAACGATGAAAATGTTGGTAACGGCCACCTTCTGTGCCCAACACAGGTGCAGTGTCCAGATGTACGGCAGGGGCAGAAGCAAGATAAATACATCAGTGGCGATATTCGGGATAGCATTGGCTTTAAAGAAAGTGTGAACGTCGACGCCACAAGTGTATTCAGATGCAGGCATGGGATTGACTGGATCAAATCTTTCCCAGAAGGCGGATATCGGCAAGCGTTGGAATGAAGTGACCAAATCTGCAATTGCGTCAGCATGCCGTCCGTCTCTCTGAATTGAGAAGTATAGTAACGAACAACTGCGATTCCCCAAGCGCCAATGATGCTGTACAAAATCCACATGGGCAACCGGGTCGTGGGGTTGGTACTGAAGATACGCCAATAGAAGGCGAGTATCGACCACTTGATAAAGACAATGCTCAAGGTGTACATGTACTCAGCGACAAACAGGCCCATAGCCTATACCTTCATTACTACAGGTGGGCCGACCCAAATGTAGCGACCGGACCCATAATTTACCACTGTCGAGCGTTCTGTATCAGCTTGACGCGATGAGAAGATGAGGATCAGAGCACTCACTCCAGTATGTGACGTCGAATATGAAAGTGCTCGATTAGATCTTCCCATCAGTCAGTATTTACTGCAACGATGGGCCGGCCCGCATTGGATAGCAAAAAGGAGGTGGATATCGGTGGAACGGAGGAAGGGGGGAGGGTTAATACCAACGAGGCGATGATAAGCCAGTCGTCCAGCCATAACTTATTCTTGGTGAGTTTCTGAACTAAAACACGTAATCCGACAGTAATAACCCCCAGTACCCAAGTCGACGTAAGGCCAGCAACTAGTTGTGGGACTTTAGTCTCCCTAAGGTCCGTTCCTGATGAGGGTTCCCCAAGAAATGCCATGGAACTCCACAGCACAGCTCTGTCGAAGCCGGGAGAGCTTTAATCAAGACAGTGGATGTCTTGCGAATTTCTTCCTTCAGGTTCGTCTGCAGGTCGCAAAATGGGGCTCTCAACGCTTCGTCGCGAAACAGAGAGATCCACACGGATTCTTATACGCACTGATAGAATGATTCCAATCTATCGCCCTGGTTCTCCTCCGCGCGAGTTCTGGGTGCCGCTTTGCGAATGCCCGAGGCCAGTTCCTTTCCGGCGGCTTGATCGCTTTCGTTGCGAATCGCCGGCGAGCAATGCAGAAGGCTAGAGGGGGGGATGGGGATGTCCTTGATTCGTACAGGAAATCCGAGAGCAGTTTTTCTTAACATCTGCCGAACAAAGGCTTTCTCTTCTGATGGGGTGAGGCATTGCTGGCTTTGGGCCTTTGTCTATCTCTAGGGTCGTCCCCTCGCACGATACCACATAGTAGTGCGATACACGATTATCGCTGTATTCTGCTAGGGCAGCATAGGTTCTACGTACGTTTGGAGGAAGATTTTGCACCAGCGCCTGGCTGGCTGGATCCATGGCTACTTACTATGGTGCAAATGGATGGGACAGAGCGCGAAAGCCCATTCCGCCCAGTGCCGGGCACTGCGACGACGAATCGCGTTAAAAATAGAACAAAAGCACGTGGTTGCTCAGAAATCAGATTGAGGATAGTTAGCACGCGTCATTTAATACGAATGACAAAGCCATATCCAATCATATGCCAAGCCAAGTCCTCCTCTTCCATCTGTACGGAGAAACTCTCGGAATCTTCGATCTTGAGTGCGCTGCATCGCCAATGCCTAGCGATGGAGAGTTCCTCAATTAAACCTTTCTCTTATGCCATCGAAGCTCCAAGATATGCCGAATTCCGCAATCAAGCAAGGGATAATAGCGACGGCGCGAATGGTTGCTGGGAATAGACCCTCTAACCACAGGCCCCAACTGTTGTAATTTTCTAGTTTAAATTCGACAATGTATATACCTAACAGTAGATAATCTGTAAGCAAGACGTATCTATAGCTCTGTATAGTTACGTTGCTATATCTGAGGTGGTGAAGAAGACGATATTGTTCCGCTACAGCGGTTGTTCCGTTACGCATGGATGGACGTTACAGCCTTGTGAAAACAAAGCATTGGTAAATTAGTTATTTCACTAATGCTTGATCTAAAAGTAATTAAAATAGTCGGAGTCATACAAATTCAAGTTTTCCTCCTCCGTCGTCACATCGTCTTCGTCAGTGCTGGCCTGCTTTCCAAAATCTAGCTCGTGCCATCGGTCGAGGTTCACCCTCTGCTTTATCGACAATATGAACTTGCTCTCGTAAACGGTTCGTACAGCATTTCTCGTCTCCCACTTGAAGGTTCCAGGATAAGATACGACAAACAAAACAGCGTTGAAGATGGTATTCTTGTACTTGTTATTGCTTTGAAATGTATCCTGCAGGATAGAATAGACAAGTTCGAACACGGCATCTCGAGCTTTCGATTTATCGCGATACTCATCATAGTCTTGTGTGGCTTTCAAATCTTTGATGATTTCACCGAGCGTCCGCCCTTTACAGACGTCGACGCGCAGAGAACCGTACGTAGCACAGAGGGTGCGGTAAGAACTAATGTCGCTGGGCATTGATCGGAAACAGTCGTGGTAGCCCGATTCAATTCCTTTGAGGGCAATATTAAAAAGAAGAATGTCTTCGTGAACAATCTCCGTAGACTGAGTTGAGCTTTCACCGCTGTGGGGGAGGAGTGATGCTGAGCGCAGGATCCGAGAAATGTCAGTCTCATACCACGCGTTTCCAATCGTCATTAGAGGAGTCGCGGTAGATGCAGTATTTATTTGACCTGGCGTCTAAAGAGTTTATATCAGATCTGTTCATTATCAACGTGCTTACTAACCTTATACTGATCTCCCTTTTCTGTCGTCAGCTTGTTGTCGTCGGTTCCCTGCTTTTCTCCTTGCCGTTTTACGCCTACGCCTTCCGACGGGGCCTTCTTCTGCTCAATAATGACGATCTCCAATTTCATTCCACCGTCGCACCTGACAACTGCAGCCTGGCTAGCACTAACTTTCACCATTTCAATGGTCTGATTAAACAGATAGCCCAGACTGCAAAGAACGTTTTGATTGCTCCTTTCCCAATCGCGGACATTCTGGGCCATATCCCGGATTTGAACATCATTGAAAAGGCCATTCTTATAGTAACTGACAGCCAGATGTGAAGTCTGCGATATCCAAAGCTGAGCTATAGTCTCGTCCATGTCCAGACTCTTACTAGTAGCTCTATTCTTGATTTCCAGGATAGAAGAACACTCTACCTCTTTTCCTGCTCTTTTAATTGTGATTGTGGATGTATGTGTCGAGATGAGAGCAGAGTCAGCGAGCCACAGTACTTCCAGTAACTGCGGCAGGGAGTCGGCTGTCTCCGCCTGCTCCTGGGCCGTAGCCTGCCATATTGCATCATCAATGTACCCATCGGTTTCGTGTCTGACCACGCACTTCAAGCCAACGAAGCGAAAACTGGTGATTCTGTGATATCCGGAGGTTCTAGGCGCGCTTTTTGTACACGTCTTCTCGAAATTACGACCGTTATCTTGGAAGCCCTGAATGACTGTAGTGGTCTCATTCTCCATGCGCGTAATCAGTGCCCTTCTACCGTCAACAATTTCGACCTGTATCTGGGGGGATGCGCTTGAAGCTCCATCCACAAAGCAGAGAAGTTTTCTGATTTGGAACTGAATTATTAGCTGTAACTATCTGAAACTTCTACCAGATAAACATTATTACTGCTAGTTAGGTATAATTTGAGAGTAAGTTTAACGGTGTACGTACATCAAGAGAGTATATACTTTAAGAGAGCACATAGTACGCTACACTCTCCTAGTATAGGCACGGGATATGATCCAGGATTGGGGGAACGCATATCGCTGTGATATCTTCTATATCTGTGAGGGATGCAACCTGAGAGAAGAATTGTATTTGACTAGATACAAGCTATCGAGCTAGATACTGGACACCATGATGGATATGGTGTTTGGACGTGGGCGTGGCTAGTCCCGATCGGGCGTAGCCACAACCGAGGTCACGTGGTCTGGGTCACGTGACCCGGCGGGCCACCCGGGCAGCCCCCCCGGGGCCGGGTGGATCCGGAGTCGGGTGGATCCGTAACAATATCAACCTTAGGAAATTAGTGACAAACTTCCTCTTGATCTTATCAGAGAGCAGATTAAACCTAGAATCAATGCTTGCTTGATCCCTTGTAGTTTCTTCCATAGTAGAGTACATAACATCGAGCTAATTTTTACATTCTGAAACCAGTTAAGCATCTGACTCCCAATCGGCCAGACTTATCATTTTCTCCAATGCACCTGCAAGTGTTGGATCCCATACACCGGCCCGGACTAGTTCTCTTCTGATGTCCGCACAAGTCGTAAAACTTTGTAGTGCATCAGAAGACTTTCCCATCCCTACCTGAGAGGTGCGAAGCAAGAAGTGTGTCAATGCAGCGTCAATATTTAGTTGAGCTGCATTCGGTTGAAATGACTGACTGAAAAGCAGATCTAGAGACGATACCAACCTGCAACAAATTTTCTCCGCACTGGTATACACCGCAGCCGCTCGACGTAGTGCTATTCAAGACACTCAACCGCGTACTCAGCCGCGCTCTCAGACCACTTCCACAGGAGCCAGAGATTGCTCCCAGTCAAGAAAAAAGACTTCTCCCCACTGTTCTAGAATGACTGGTGATCAGTGTTTAAGACAGAGACAGTTCTCAAGTCGTTTGAAGCCACTGGTATATGGCCTATAGAGCCAGAGCGTATACTTGAGAAATTTACCCACCGTCAAGTCTCCCTGAATCTGACTGGTGGAAGATGGACCGGCTAGTTCGTACTGCTGTAGCCGACAGCCATTCAGTGGAGTCAAAGAAGCTAAGTCTTGAACTCCATCACCTCTCTGTCGAGAACCAGCTACTACACCGTGAAATCAACGGGGTAAAAGAGGCTCTTACTGTTAAGAAGAGGCAGAAGAAGCAAAGTAGTTCTCTTGACTCACAGCAGAGACAGGAGTACCACTGTGGTACTGTCTTCTGGTCTCCACGTAAACTTAGAGAAGCACGTGCACGGGAGATAGTGAAACGACAGGAAGAGCACAAGCAGCAGCTCGCAAAAGTTAATAGGAAGGATCTCCAAGTTGCTGCTAAGCTGCTCCGGAAACAGGGGGCAGAGGAAAGGCGTGTGGCGAGAGAGGCAGCCAAAGTAGTGAGGGAGAAGGAGAGAGCAGAAAAAGCAGCTACTCGGGCAGCCCGAGTCGAAGCCCAAACCACTAGAAGAGTGTCTCAAACCACCCAGGATAGGAAGCGTAAAGTTCTAGCAGTACCTCCGTCACTTACTGAGCGCCAGAAACGTGGTGGTCGCTCTACAGCTCCTGCGGCGTCTATAGAGACTGCATCAGCTGCTCCACCTAAAACTATCTCATGTGGCCGTACTATCAAAACTCCAAGTATATATAACTAGTACAAAATGATCGCAAGCCTCTACATACTACCCCACCATAATATCCCGTATATATAGCTGTCGTGGGTGGCTCTACAGCCTCATCTTTGCCATAGTGATTTTGGTGTTGCTAGGGCGTTGCGCGCACGGGCACGGTACAATCGGGTGGCAGAAGTGTGTTCGCACAGAGCACGGGCCCCACCAACGCGCGAACAGACTAAAGTCTTTGTACAGTTGTCAGATTGTGATGGATTATCAAAGACGGTGGAATAACTGATGGATTATTGATCTGATTGATTGTGTTGTTCTATCTGATCTGATCCGCGCTGAGCTGGATGGGCTGGATCGCGGTGGATCGTGCGCGCTGACTAATCACAGAATCCGGGTGCGCTAAGGACACCCGGATTCTATCCACCACCTAGGCCTAGGGGGCTATCAGGAAACTTTTCATAATACCCCCTATGGCCACCTCCAGTTACACCGTAATCTGACAACAGTATGCCGGTACTACTCCATGCTACCTGTAAAGAATCCTTGATCTTTTATAGGAGCGCACCCAGTTATGACACTGGAATCGGGGGAAGTATTGCAACACGCCTAGGATTCACTCCCTGTACCACCACTAAGAAACACGCTGAAGGCAGAAGCAAACGCGTTGCAGATTTGTGTCTTCGGTTCTGCGCAGATATTGTTGGAAAAGTAGTGGGCTCCGTACCACCTTGTGATCTCATTCACAAAGAACGACTTGCCAACAATTCCGTTGTCTGCAACGCCGATGTCGAGGCGAACGCCCACCTCGAGAGACTCAAAGACGACCATGCTGTCGGACCGCGCACGTAGCTCTTCAAAAACGAACAGCGCGAATCGAACGAGATCCGATCGTGTTAGTGCGGGCTCTAGGTCTGCTGGGATAAACTCTCGTGCTGCAAGTTCTTGAGTCTCTTTATTGAACGAAGTCTTTGCAATGGCAAAAACCTGACCAATGCGTCCTCGAATACCCTTCTTGCTTGGTACAGTGGCAATAAAAACTCTGAACTCGCAACTTGGGAGTGATGGAACGAATTCTTGGTGGAACCAATGTGCCGAATGGTCGGCACCATCTGCTGGCGTTTTGGACGACTTCCCTGTTTTCCGTGATTTGTTTTTCCGACATCCATCTCTCTGCGATTGGGTTTCTGATGCATGCGTCTCTCGATCACAGGTAAGTTGATATTGCTCTCCACGCTCCCGAACATGGACGTGCGCAGCGCAGCCACTCTGGGTTCTTTTGTGTACTGTTTTCTCGTAGTTCTGGAGCTTGCATGGACCATAACCAAAACATGTCATGGGCCGATATGAGAACTCTTCTGAAGATGACTGAGCCACATCATCTAAGGCCCGGATGTCCCCTAGCTTGTCCATCTCCTGCCGCGCTTCGTCCTCATTCGGGTAAACCCGGAATGATGTTGGATGGATGGGTTTCAGCAGGCGTACTACTCTGTAGACTGTGTTAAGGGTAGGGTTGGTGGGCTCGTTTGTGGTCCAGTGCAGGAACAGTACAGTGCGTAGCGACTTTTCGCTTTCATCTGTACAGGAACGGGATAGCAGATTCCGCGGAAATGGGGCTAGCCAGTCCCATGTATGCGCTTCGATGGAAAACGTATTCCCTGCTTTCGCTTTTGTGGCTAAAAGCGTGACCAGACCCTGATGTATATACCAGCCTTCATTGCCCATCGGTGTGACTGTGTTGCGCAAATTCATTGAATCGGCTTGTTCCAGCCAGGGATCGTGACCAAGACTTTTGCGATCGTCACGGAAAACCTGGAGAGCGAGAGTAGCGGTTTCTTTGAGTGGTTTTGTGTCAGGGAAAGAAACCCATATCAGCTTGTCCCAAGACGCATATGGTGCACGGAGGGAGCGTGTGGGCGCTGCTGCTTGCGAAACCAATAAAGATCGGTGCGCCACGTTGAGATTGTCATTCAGACTGCCAAGACTGTTTATCGCAGCGCGCTGGGACAGTTTATCGGCACGCCTTGCTCTTGCCTGCCTAACTCGACGCTCGCGATGATCTTTGCACAGAGTGTGGCCTCCAGGGTTCTCATAACACGAGAGACTGAAAGCACAAAACCCTGCCATAGCGTGCGCTTTTATCCGCTCACGATACGTGTTATTTGACTTTTGTTGGCTGAGGGAGGCAGGCATGGAGCGGGTGGGGATCGGGCTCGAAGCAGGGCGTGAAGCAGGGCGCGAAGCAGGGCGTGAAGCAGGGCGCGAAGCAGGATGAAGCAGGATGAAGCGGGACGAAGCGGGATGGAGCGGGATGGAGCGGGATACACAGCTCGAGATGTTGGCTTGGCGTTCCGCCTAATTTGTCCGCACAAGATTGGGTCAACTAACGCAAATCCCAAGCTTCTCCACAAAGGGCATCATCATCCAGTATCTCCCGCAGCAGCTATGCGAATCCAAAATGTTCAGTCTAGATCTCTTGTCTAATCTTTTGCGCTCTATTGACGTGATGCTAGGACTTCCGGACGGCGTGAAATATCCCCAGGCGTCAGTAATGGCGTTGGCGTTGGCGCTGGGTAGCCGCATCTCCTGGCACTAAGTAGCGTCGGTTATTGATGTAGATAAGTTGAGAGTTCTTACTCTCTCTTGCACTACATACCGGCCAAATTGCCCCGCTCACAGTGCAGGCTAGCCGGTCTCCGGTATCACCAATACCAGCAATTGCAAACCTACTTTCGTTGCTCATTTTGCATTTTCGGTGAGGTCAAAAAAGAGAAGATATAAAGTCTCTCCCTGCGTAACAGAAAACCCGGTGGGCCGGAATGAACCAATGAGAACGTGAGGTCAGCAGTCATCCCCGCGAGATGCTGAACCTCATTGGCTCATTCCGGCCCACCGGGTTTTCCGGCACATAGGGAAGGATGGTAACGTTGTCTTCAAGAAGCAGAAGAAAAGCAGAGCCGATTGAACTGTCGGGCTCGGGTGACTCTTTCAAGGACCCAAGGCTAAGTCATGTGGTTCCAGTTGTCGCAACGCCTGCTATACGTACTTCTCGTGAGGGAAGTGCACTTTTTGTCAGCAATGCGCAGTCCTCTCGAACCACGCTGATGCACATTGGCAGGCAAGGCTCCAACATTGACCTAGCAGATTTGCTAACGGGTTTGCCAGTCTAGCCCTTGTCAAGAAATGATTGCATCGATATCCTCATAGAAACACCCATCGCTGTTGCTAATTCGCAACCCCCGGGAATATGGCCGTACTGTCACATGTCATGACTCTCAACATAGTAGCCCCCGGTGCAGGCGTATATAGATCAATGCAATTGTGCTCTACCCGTGACATCTGCTTCGGAATCTGATCAGGCGACCGCTCTATCTTTGTATAGTTAGATGTAAGGCACACACATATCACGAGACAAGTATGAAAACTTGGGATGTAGATGCAACTATTAAGGCGCGCATGCGCTGAAAACTACCATAGTCCTCCGTTATTTAGGTCTCGACGAATGACTATGCGCTACATCTCATATTAATCATTAAGTTGTAGTGCCTGGAAGAGTAGCGTTGCCGTGTTTGACGTTCTCGCACAACTGACTCTTGGACTGGCTGTTGATAGCAATCCTCTCGTCGAGAACACTGCGCCGCTCGCAGTGCGTGGCAAATGTCACGAGAACCATTCGGTTTGTTCTACTCCGTTAGTCGAGCTTTGCACCTTGCTTCCCGTTGCGGCAACTGGCACCAATCTTCTCGCCACGCCATGCTCTAGTTTTTGTACCCACTTCAGTTACGAATCTCGCGCACAGGTTTTCCTTGCGAAGAAACGGAATCTCGGTGATAGCCTTAAGTACAGCGCTTTTACCGGATGACTGGTCACCGCATACTACAAGCTGGGGTAGTTCCACAATGCCATTGAGACCTGTACATCGCAGCTTGTCTACAATATCCATAACTTTCCGCTGATCTACAGACTATGAAGCGTGCAGAGAGCTCGTAGTGACAGAATCCGGGTCGATAGGCACTGGTGTGATTGGCATCTTAACGCCTTCAAACTCGGAATCGCTAGACAAACTGCTTGCCATGTTGGTAGACGAAATTTTGATGTAGGCGGAGTAGATAACACTGGGGAGTTGAAGTGGTTGAAAACCGGTAGTAGAACAAACAGCAGGGTTGATTAGATATAAATCGAAAGGGGTTGCTGTAGTGAAGGCGGAAAAAACAGACAAGCAGGCGTTGTGGGCGGAAGCAAACCTTCGCCTCTTACTATGTCCCAAGGATCTGGATGACACTATTGGAAGCTCATCCGAAGCGTGTGGGTTCCCTATATTATCGATAGAAGTTGCACGAATTTCTAGCATGATTTGAACCATTATTTAGCACTTCTGTAGTTCTGCGCGACCCTAACGCTAAGCCTATTTCAGCGCGATTCAGGGGGCTGATTCGCGCTAGACTGTAACGGGCGAGAATCCGTGTCTGATCCGTGTTGCATACGCGCATTTTTGGATCAGGGTGCGTGATTACCCGATCAGGATGGATCGGGGGCCAAGTCACGTAGCATCATATACTAGGTATTGTAGTGATCCCAAAGTGAATCGCAGTATTGAACGCAGTGCATTCAATTGCAGTGTTACATGGAGAATTCAGATATTCACATGACACCCGCCCACATCATTACCTGTGGACACCCTCGGGTCCATTTCTAGGCTGCCGGTTCCCTGTATTCTGTTTCCGTAGAGACTCCTAAGTCCGAGTACAATTTGTCAGCATCTCTTTTAATGGAATTATAATCCCTTTCCATCTGTTCAGCTGAACTCATAATCAACGCCATATCGTACTCTGATTGACCAAGATAGGTCGGATTAACGCCAAGACTTCTCAGATAATCTTCCTTTCTGGCCACCGAGATTGCCTCCATATCCACATGCCAGATCTTCTCCATCCAACAGACAGTTATGAGGAAGTGAAGTTTCATGATTGAATTTTGGAAAGACTTCCTTAGTTGTCTTGCTGCACGTATCGAAACTTGTTAGCGACCCTATCCAAGGTGTACTAGCAACAGGGATCTTACCTTCCACGTATCTACTGACCTGTGATGAATGGTTATACACCGCTGTTGGCCCAGCTACGAGGGCTGTTCCACCACCAAGAATGCCGCCTATGCCGAGAGCGGTGGAAGCGGCGCCAGCCGTCACCCAGCTGTAGAGAAAGCAGCCTGCAATGGCAGGGGGCCCCAAGAAAAAGCCTGCTGCATACAGAGCAACTATGCCGCCTGTAATAGCTGCGGCTCCTATTTTCTTGTTCGTACTGTCCTGCTTCAACTTCAGTATGGACTCAAGTTTCCTTAAGCCGTTCCTCAGGTCAGGATATAGTAGCAGCAGTTTGCGTGTAGCTACCATTGCTTCCCAAATGTCTTCACCAGACGAGTCTGTGGAGGACAGTTAGTTTCCCTGCAACAAGATCCTCAGGCTCAATGCCGAGCAAACAAATGGATATTGAGGACAGACCTACCGTTGCGTATATTTTTCGCTCGAGATACTGCAGCAACGAGAGCTTCCTCGAACATCCGTTCAATTGTTGCAGTAGCCCCGGCTATTTCTTTAGTTGCCTTTCTGATGGCTGCCTCGTTATTTCTGTCAGCATCCCAGGCATTTTGAATCTGTGGCTGTTAGAAAGAGGCTAGTCGAATGGGATTGAGCAACGAACCGCCGTAGCTAATTGTTCAATGATTTGTAATACCCCTTCCAGATTTTGTTCGGTGGTCCTCTGCCCAGAAATCGGCGGGTTGGCGGCCGTCGCCAAATAAGATCTGACGAGGCGAAGGAGGAAACTGAGTGGAAGAGCACTGTTCCGAAAACGAGTCAGTATTGTCAGCAATCTTCTCAGATACAGGAACTGGAAGCTTTCCGTACGCACTACCTCCCACGAAGTTTGATGGGCCTGTTGCATCGTGAACGATACTATCTGCTTTGACGGCCAAACTCTGCACGAGTCTCCCTTGAGCATACGTATTTTGCCGTTTTTGTTCCACATGCATTAGATATATGTTCATGCAAATCATAGAACCGCCAAACAGACGTCGAAACGCGTTCAGGTCGATTAGTTGTACCAGTTGGGCCCACAGTTCTCGGCAATTCGGCAGGGCCACGTTCGTGTGTTCGTGGGTATAGAATCGATGAACGAAATCAACCTATCAAAGACCCTTAGTGAGGACTCGAAAGCTAGATAAGGGAAAACGAGTGAGACGGGCGGAAGAGATATTACCCCACAGCCGATCTTCTTACCTGAACCGAAACAATACGATCTAGTCGGGTCATCCCACGTTTTACAGGCACGAGGCGACAAAACCATGGAAATTCTTGTCTCTTCTTGTTAAGTTCTCTCAGATAGCATGCGAACAGGCGTGCTAGCCTCGTACGGTGCTCCAGAGTCTCTCCATCAGGATGCCGATGCCAATAGTCCAATCGCAAGGTAAGTCTTCCGCGGTTAGGGAGGGCTACAGCGTCCGTTGTGTCTCGCCGAGACATGGGAGAGGCAAATAATTACATGAAATAATGAAAGATCGCCCTTTAGGTTGATGAAGTACACAGAATCCTATGCGTCGTAGGACCAGGACAAGCAGCGAGCACGGACCAACTGTGGGGGTGCCAAGAAAAGGCCGTCTTAGCTCGTGCAAGCTAAGCCAGCGCATCACGAAGTGTCATTCCGTCCTTTCGGGCATGACATACAACCCATGTTACCTCTTCAGCACGATGAACTTCGATATAAGAGATTTGGCAACGTTTGACGACGATCGCGCGGAGACGCAAAGCCTTCTGGCACTACCGAGTACACGAAGTGAACACAATGCAACCTCATCGGATCAAGTGGGCATCTACTCCCCAGCCCAGCCGAACATCTCATCCAACCCTGATGAAATTGACATGTGGGACTATTTCGAATCCACTAGGCGTTCCGCCAGTTACCATTTGGATGAGTACTTTCACTTTCGCGAGGATGTAAGGAGTGAATCCGCTCCTGAGCAGCCAGAGTTACAAGATTTAGGTATGTACAACACAATATACCCCCAAACAATCAGCATCTCGTGTTTATCTTGCAGTATTTCTGACCCTCTAGACAGTGGACCAGAAGCGTAAAATGCCAAAACAGTCGGCCTGGCGCCTAAAAGTGGCTCGGGATAGCTTATTGAACGAATTGGAAACGTCGACCCACCTTCTGGACATCATGTCCGGAATAGCAAAGAAAGGGCTAGCAAAGTATTATGTCCTTTTAGTCCTTCTGTAGGTGATTCGGGCTTCTTGCTCTCCCACGTGTAATCAAATCTACACATGATAAAGGCCAAGGCTTTTCAGCTAACAATTTGCTAACCAGAGGTACCACTTCAAAATTAACGAATTCTTCATCGAGTACGGTGTCTGATTTTATGTGGGCATCCTCAGTTGTTGCAATGGTACCGACAGCGAGCTATATAGCTTATAGAAGTTGTAGGCGGGCCGTTATCACTCTCTGTAAAGTAGTCATCGAGCGGATGCATAAAAAAACTCTTGAAAACACACTGGAAATGGATGACAAGGAGGATCTCAATAGTCTGAGATTTAAAGCGCTATGGTGGATAAATTATTTATGCCATGGTTGATACCAATAGTAATCCAAAGACCAAAGTTATGGCTCTACGCCATCTTCTCTTATGAATTTCGTGCGAAAGCGGGGTCATAAAAGTAAACGGTAGCACATGATTTGGGATCAAAGTCTAAGGATAGCATTGGGTCCATTCTTCAAATGCTGATGGTTAAGGACATAAATTGACTCTGCCCTTCATATTTCTCGGCCCGGTGTGCGTCCACGAGGAGTGAGGTACGTTAACTTACCCCTCACATTTTTGAAGCGCAGCAGGATATTCGCCACGCATGGAAAGACGTAATAGGCAAACAACTGATAGGGGCTTGAATATATCCGAATGCAGTGATGAGCCTCTAAGCACCATTTTCCTATGCAATTGCCTGAAGCGGCCTTCCGCCAGTCTTCTGAAAACGGAATAGTATCTTCTCTTCGAACTAAAATTGGCTCAAGGATAACCCCCTAGAACCTGTTTAGTGACAGTGGTATTTACAGAATACAAGAAAAGGTACAAAATCTTTAGACTCGACACCGCTAGCAGGGAGGGCGGTCGAGCCGCATTACCACTAGCCTTGAAGGATTGCGGCGCAGCGTTTCGAGTCACATCCTTCGTTCTGCTTACTGGCTATAAGCGTAATCAAGAGTGTCAGCATCCAGGGTCATGAAGCAGCAACACAAGGCCGCAAAAGGGTGGCAAAGCTAGAAGAAGGGAAACATGGTCTTATGTCGCAGCCTATATATGCAAGGTCGCAGAAGCAATGACTTCAGCTGAGCCGAAGCAACAAGCCACTGCAACGGCAACAAGGATACACTACCTCAACAAGAAAAAGCAATGGCTATACACCACAAGACAAGTGAAAATATCCGATAACAGAAACAATACAGATCAATCTACCGCACTTACGCGTGCAGCATCTTGCTATGTGGGTGAATGATAAGTGAGAGTAGATCGAATAATACATCCTATGTAACTATGTAACGTTACACGCTTCGATCGGATACCGAACGCACGCCTAGTTGATGCTTACAGCTAGCGTGAAGGACCCCGCTCAGCCCACCACGTAGTCATCCCCGTCGTGCTCATATCTATATCACTAACTAGTTAACTAGCACAGGCATCACCGCTCATAATTGCTTTCATTCTTGGGCACTGGCAAATCCGTGGCTTCTCCTTGCACATATACTCGTGCTTACGGCCGAGTTTTGCCCCTTTCTTGTTTGTTTATTTAGCAGCTCGCTTGGCACTAGCCGTTTTCGCATCGACAGTGAAGTCGTAAACAGTTTTGCAGACGATCGAGAACTAGTTAAAGGTCTGGAAAATCTCGACGAGATTCATGCTCCTATAATTGATTTACATGACTGACAGGGCCCATACCTGCAATTCGTGCAAGCAATGCAATCTGTTAGCCCCTCAAATCGAGTCCCATCTCCGCTTCGAGACCCTCCAGTTATTCTTTTCCGCACGGAATGTCATGACAGGAATTCGGCGGCATACAATTCGGCCTTTCGGAATCACAAGATAGTGTCTAGGAATCCACATATAGCATTGACTAGAGAAGCTTTCGACAACTGTCTCTCATGGAAGAAAATTGATACACCTTTGATACCTTTCACTGGGAGTTGGGAAAGGGCGATGAGGCGAATACAGAGACTTCTACAAGATGGCAACAAAGAGATTTTCATCAGCAATCTGGGCAAAAGGCTTGCAGAATGTTTATGACGCAAGTGAAGTTGCCAAAATGCTGAGATACAACAACGATGGCAGCAACAGATGGAATCAAGATGGCGAATACCTTATCCACAGAGGGATCTCGGCAGATGATAACAGATTGTTGGCCGTGTTTGATGGACAAAAAGAGCAGCGTCTCGACTTAGGTATACCTGGCCTTACTGGATCCACCACCGTCCCAGATGGATTCATGTCTACCATACCTGGAACAGCCGGAAATGAAAAGCTCGAAAATACAAACTACATGCACACTGGGATCCGTGGGGAGAGTGCGCAACTATGGTATCTCATAGCGTTCATGGTTAGAGCCTTTGACTCGCCTTGGATATCATTTGTGATTGAATGACACACATTTGATTCTTGCGTCCATCTTTCATAAATATAGTGTTGTAAACGATCCGGGGCCGAGCGAGGTTGTATGACTGTTGCTCACACAGTGAAACCGCAACGAATAAGCGCTGAAATCTCAATATTCATAGATACAGAGGAATCGTTTTCTCATCAGCATCTATAGGCTCTAACTTCAAATGACATAATGCGATGGAGCCATCGATTTCACACAGGAAGCACTGGTAAGGTAATGGGTAACAAGTACTATGAAAATTCAAAAAAGTCAACATTACTCTAGCTGACTCAGAGAGCAGCTCAACCAAGAACGATCTTGCGATTCAAACATGTATCAGTTGTTCCGATATATCAAGATTTTTTGTCTTTCTTCCAGAGCCAGTCTTCTAAGTTGGTCGTGTCAAGACTCTAAAGGCCGCCCTTACGGCTTCACGTTCCAACCTAGCTCCTTGCCCTTTGCGTCCAGGATGCCTAATGCCAAACCACTAAACTGTATGAGCAGTTTCCTGATCTCAGGTGCTTGAGTAAGCTCCATGTGCTTCGCAATAGTTTGGCTGACCAGATCCCTAAGACCAGCGTCATCTTCAGGTGTGGTTGAGAAAGCATGGCTTGCCGCGATGTGGAAGTCTGGGGTGTTCCAGAAATGGTTGCAGACTCTATTGAACTTCTCTTCCGCAAGCTTCCTCAGGCCCACAACTTCGTATTTGTCGGCCATTTCATACATTTTGCTGTGCGTAAGAAGTTGTGATGACGATCCAGTGAGCGTAGGAGTATCGCAGATCGGACAAGTAAATCCTCTGCATGTGTAACCGCAGGTTTCACCACAGTAATGGTGTGGACAAAGTCGACTACTGTGACAACAATCAAGTCGTTGATAGCAAGTATGAGGGAACACAAGATGATAGTCTTGTTTTTTGGATGACAACTTCCCACGTTTGACTGGCGTGGAAATGGTCATCGTCGAAAGTGACTCAGCAACCGGAGGTAGCTGCGGCTCGTATTCACCCTCATACAGATATTGAATGAGAAGCTTTACAGTCTCCGGCTCATCCTCGGGTAAGTCGAGTTTGCCGCTCTCAGTTTCCTCCCCTCACATTTAGCTAAGCTGGGTTCACAACCAATGTGCAAAGTCACTTACCTGCCCACCGAAACTAACCGCACGTGCAAAAAAACCTGCTCGATTACAGACGATGACCTTATGGACTTTATATGTATCACTACCGCACGTGATTTTGAAGTCAGAGTAGGCGCCAGATGCTAAGGAACTGCGTAAGTGTGAGCATCAACGCAATTATCAGAGCGAAATTTCCAACGAGATTCAAACACCTTTTGAGTGAGTCGAGCACCTGCTTTTGCGGTGTAGTTGCCATGACATCAAGGAAACGTGGGTGAAAGTGACCAAAAGGAAACGCAACAGAAGATTATTGTAAGAGGGGGGCCAAGTCAAGATCGCTTCGATCGCCAGAGGCTAAGCGGCGAGCGAAGCGAAAAGAAGTGACTACAGTAACTAGTCACACTGTGAAGCAAGGTTTGGAAATCACTGGGCCATAGCTTCCGCTGATAGCGCGGGGTCGCTTGTCGCTGCTCATGCTGTTATTGGAGCCAAGAGCCACTGGCTTGATCCGACGCCAAATCACAGGACTCGACACCCGATTTAGCCGATCGTCTTTGGGCGTTCTGGTGTGCATGATAGGCAGTGATGCAGTGATGTCATCGAGTTTAAGCGGGAACCCAGATCCTTCCGAAATTATCCCGTTCTCAGATTTGAGGCCACCGAACCGGGGCAGCAAGGCTGCGATGATTGTAGCTCTACAGGAAGCTGTTAGCTACCTAAACTGCGCGAACGAGATCATGTTTTATGGGTGCAGGAAGCGTAGATTCTGGATACATCGCTATACACGTCCGGATACCCTCTGCCGGTGACCACATAGAGAAGTAGTTGTCTCTTCGCAGAAGCACTCAGCGTTACATTTGGGCATTGGCAAAGGGCGAAGACCAAAGCGCCTATATGCTTGCAAAAAGCTTTCGTAATCTGGTTGGCATACTTTCTCAGATCAAAACGCTGTCGCGGCGAGCATTGTTTGGGTTAGCATACCGATGGAAAAATGCAATAGTCTTTTGCTTCTTTGTAAGATCGATCAAGAAGCAGTAGCATCCTCGCTTTGTCGAATCAAGGTTCACAATAGCAACATAAAGATTCGAGGAGAAGGTTGACGAACGTCCGAGATCAGTAAGTACGTCACGTGATTGCGGCACGGTTGAAAGAACTGCGGTGCGGCGTCTCAGGCCGCATCCTTCAAACTGCTTACTGGTGGGCCGTGCTGCAGTCTGCTCAGCTCCTCGGTAGCGCCAAGAGATAGTGATAGCTAACCACGTAACGTGATTAGAAGGATTGCGGCACAGCGTTTCGGGTCACACCCTTCGTTCGGCTTACTGGCTGTAAGCGTAATCAAGAGTGTCAGCATCTAGGGTCATATAGCAGTAGAATTTCTAGCATGATTCTAGCTCTTATCAAGCACTCCCACGATTCTGCGGAGCCCTACTGCTAAGCCTAATAGAGTTTAGCTTTGCAATTGGGGGGCCCACTCTAGAACCGAATACCTGAGTGGAATTAATACGTTTTATATCTATGTTGTTACCTAGCCCCTCTAGTGGATAGATACAATAAAAGCAACAAACAATATGTATGAAAACGATCCGAAATTATATTTATAATGTTTAAAGCTGAACATTTGGATTAGCTTTGAAATGAAACTTGGCTGTTATCCCTGAAGCCCTGCAATTTTAATCCTCTTACTTTAGCCATGGCTTCCTGGACCACTTCGTCAATCTTGACATTTAGACTGCACGGGTGAACCTCAGCCCTATTGTGGTCGTGTCTTCTGTAGTAGTCGTAACAGTCGCTTTTGACCCACCACTTCGTATTCTTCGCCATTCCGCTGGTATTGCATATTTCATTGAGGCTGATTCCCATAAAAGGATTCTCTGGCCGGGGTAAGAGACAACCCCATCTCTCCATATATCTCATCAACGCGCCAAAGAGAAAAGCTCCACATTGAAAAGAGTAAGATGGATTATGGGAGCAGGAATAGTTGAAGTCTCGATAGACCCCAAGTAAGCGGTGCAATTCAGAGATAAGGTGCTCAAGGGCATTGCATCGAATGCGGTCGATACTAGCTGATCAGAGTTAGCAATTGGAACCTGGATCGAGGCAGGTCAAGACTATACATGTAATCCCCTGGTGGATCGGCAAATCTAGGGTTTGAATCCAGCCCTTACTCTCTTTGATCGCCACAGCCGTCGCTTTCTCAAATTCTTCGCACATGCAGAAAACTCGAGAGATGCAGATCCACAACATAAGGTTGCGGCAATAAGAAGATGGAATCGCGGCATTACGCCTCACATTAGCAATCCAGTCCTTGGTATCACGCTCGATCACCTCTGCATTTCCAAGCTCGTAGTAATCGACAAGAACTGCGATCTTTGCGAGCATCTCCAAGCTTACAGTAGCCGGAACTTGGCGTGTTCGGACGTGGAAAATGTTGAGAAGAATGAGGAGAGCTTCTTCGTCCCAATCGTTGGCTTGGATGTGGTACCGTCCGTCTGATGGATTTCTCAAGGATTCAACAAACTCCTCTCTTGTTAATGTGCGCCTAAACCATGGTGAAGCTAGCATCAAGTGGCGAGATGAGACGAGATAGTGAATCTCATCATCTTCCGACTGGGTCGGCCCTGAGGCGGGCTCGGCTAGTTCGACGCTTGGGTTCTCTACTCCACCAACGACTCTTGTTGCTAATTTCCGATCGTGAACAAGTCCTTGCTCTTCAGATAATGCTTCACTGGAAAGCTCGGCGTGCTCGCCATTGCCCTCTGGAACGTTCGAGACAGTGCTATTGCGGGAGGCTCTACCGCGCATTCGGGCTTTCTTCTCCTTCTTTGACAGCTCCTTGCCCGTCCGATCATCCTCGAACGTCTGAGCATGTATGAGATGTTCCTCTTCCGACTCAGGAAACTCAATTTGAGAGGATACGAGCGTCTCGTCCCACGGGGTGAAGTTTTTGCAAGGATTCTTAAGGATGATAATTGTATCTGCAAACGTATCAATCTCATGTGTGACCAACGACATGATAGTGGTTGATTGATGTGATAGCGGACATACAGGCATAATTTGTATGACATATAATCAGGCTGTGCTTTGGCGCACTCTTGGAGCAGTTCGGCTGCTTATTCTAAGCCTTGGCAAGTGGGTTGCAGCAGGAAATTTCAGCATTCCGGGATCTTCATCACGATTGGACAACACGTTTCACCGGTTTGCGGGGACCGAGATAAGCTAACGCTATCTTTGCTGCTTAGATCCTTGACTATCTAATCCAAGAGGTCTATACCCATGGCCACTATTATAATTAGTCCTTTACCGTTCTCCAAAAATCTCCTACAAATTCACTGCCTTCTTCCATATACTTGATGAATTCATCACATTTTCCGATTGTGTCAATCTCGCACACAATATACTCAACCACGAGTCTCCTCTGGTCGCCGATAATTCCGTCGTCGTTTCTATCTGGCAGATCTGGGTTCGAGTACGCACTTCTCGTAAGCCGAATGATGTCTCCAACGCGCTTTGTGTACAACTTGAAGTTCATTAGTGTCTTATGCAGCTTGTAGAGGGTTAGCGCTTTGAGTGGCATTATTAGACGTAGATGCGCAAANCAGTAGAGCCGTGCGTGGGCGAGGAGGACTGGCGTGAAGTTTTGGTCTGCGGCACTATTAGATTTGGGTTGGAAGTGCTGCAGGATCAGATCTTTGGGGCCGCCATCATTTAGGTAGTTTCGGCTGTTAAATTGAGTGCGTAGTGAGGTTCTTGAGATGTTCCTTGCTACGTATTGAGACTCAGATACTGGCTGGGCGGCAGGTTCTTCGCATGCCGGAGCTTCTCCGGGGTAACACTCCATGGAAGGAGGTTCTTCTGAAGCAGGGATTCATCCCAGACCGGAGCCACTCCATTGTCGTCGTTCTGCTCGTTCTTCTCAGGTGCACAGCTCGGTCCTAGTAGCACTTCTCCCAACGGAGGTACCGTATAGTCCCCGCGGTAAGCGTATTCGCAGAACCGAATGAAATCGTTAACCATGACATCTTCGATCCTCGCACATCGCGTTTCAGACTGCTGCATTCCACCACTAATAAGTGCATCTAGTTGCGGACTAGTAGCAGCAACCGCGGCCGCATGCACCACGACAGGCTTTCCCTCCTGGCCAACGAAGGTGAACTGAGGTGATTGGATAAAGCTGTCGAGCTTTAGCTCAACAGGGTCGGCATTAGAAATAAAACTCACTCTTCGAAGGTTGGAGCCATGTGTACATAACGAATCTTGGATGACTTCTGCAGAGTAAAGAATAGAAAAGTCAATTCTTGACTTGAATGAACTCGCTATGTGGGAGGCTTGGGAAGAAGATGAGAAGATGAGAAGATGCGGGGTTGTGCGGCAAGCAGCTACATGCTACGCATTGACTGGTTTTCCAAGGCTGAAAATGCAATTAACACAGCATTATTGCTAAATGCAATGGCTTCCAACAGTATTGGTCGCCGGGTTTTGCCGACTGCATCTTGCTGGAAAACCTCGATTTCTGACACAAATTGACTTGAAGCCAGAGCTAACATAACATGCAGGAGCCTCTATTCCTAGATAGCGATGCTAACCTAATGTAGGTATTGCGACAGTTCACGTTCGCAAATAATCGAATACAGATAAGCTCGATGCTTACATAGTGGATAAGGCATAACTAGTTAGCGTCAGCGCTGCTTCGTCAGCGCACACGCACACTAGGAGGATGATCCACTCGCGTGGGCCATCTTGTAGCGTAGCTGTAAGTAACTTTCTTCTCCTAACTACATAGTTACACTCACTCGTTATGTATGTAGATGGCAAGTGATAACTACTAGTGTAGTTATGTGGGCAATGGCTGACAGCAGCGATTGCGTTGCAGAAGTGGCCGAAGCCGGGCCGTACGTAAGGCTGGTTGACCATCCCGCGCTGCAAGCGAGGTTGAGCGCGGGATGACTTGATTGCGACCGTAAGCACTTTGAAGAGTACGTCGGCTCGGCGCATGATACGAATTGTGCCGTGTTGACGCGACTGCTTGCAAGTAAACAGCTTACGCTTTCCAACTGACAGATCTCAATTGGACTTCCTGATGCGTCGTAGTGCAACCAAGGGCAATAGGCCAGTTTACTGCATAAACAAAAAACGGCAATTCCCCAGGCTTCTTGCATTTACATACACACACACACACAATTTATTTACGCCCGGCGGCCGAGCCGAGAGGGCTACTAGCGCTAGTCTAACTTTACACTTCTTATGCTACATCTTGGTCTCAGCCCATATATCTTCTTTGTCCCACTTCTTTGTATAGCTTGTTATCTTAGGTCAAAGCCCTTACTCAATATCTTGGCACGCTTCTTCTTTATCTACTATCACTCCTCATCAGGTGCTCGTGGGTTAGTATTGTTAGTAGCAGACTAGCTTAGAGTCGGCTTCTCCAAGAGATTCTCTAAGTGTTCAACGTCCTATCTTCGGCGGCTAAAGCGCTGTCTGCTGTCGGTTGCACGAGGCTGCTAATAAGTTTACGTTAGTAGCTAACTATAGTTAGTTTACCTAGTAGTTAGTTAAATGCTAGTTTGCATCCAGTCTCCGTGTTGCTATTGCGAATCGTATCGTCGCTCGCACTGCGTCCATGTCTGGCTCCCATTTCGCGTTGTCTGTCGCTGTTTTGCCGCCTAGGTAGAACGATATACTCCCTCGGTCCGTCTGCGTGCATTGTAGCATTTCGGTTCGCTGCGTGGTCCACTTTCTGCACCGGAGTAAAAAGTGCTCTACTGTCTCTGCTGCCTGTCCGCATTCGCATTGGTCTGTTGTCGATGCTTTGATTCGATATCGATACGTGTTTAGCTGTGCCATGCCTGTTCTAAGCTGGGCAAGTACACTGCTCTCTTTCCGCGACAGTCCGTCGTAGAGCTGTCGTGTGTGCTTTCCTGGCAGTGCCGTGTCGATTTGTCTAGAGTATGCTCCTACGTCTCTTGGCACTTTCTTAGTTATGCCTCGCTTTCGTGCGATATTGTGCGTAGTTGATCGTATTCTAGGAAGCTGTGTTTGTATTCTGGCAGTCAGTCTGGTTGCCATTTTCGCCTCTTGCTTGGCGAGGCTTGCGAGCTCGCACTCTTCGCTTGTAGGTAGCCATAGTACTATCACCGTATTACCGTCTCTTCTTAGTGTCTGTACCGTCTTGTAGAACTGGCTTATGTAGCTTTGCCCAGATTGCTGCCGCGGTCTTCTAAGTGTGAGCACCGCAGCCTTGTTTCTTGTTATTAGTACAATGCTGCGAAACCTCAGCTTCGGCAGCCTGCTCAGCGCCTCAGCCATTGCCGCTAGCNCTGCCGCGTAAGGATTCTGTTCCTCTCTCTTGCCTAATGTGACGGAGAAAGATTGTTTCTCGTTATTCTGCGTGCTGATTGCGCCTCCCATTCCGACTACTCCGTTCCGCGCTG